ACGTGCACGCGCACGTCGCGCTGGCCTGGTGATGAAACCGATGTGACGCGCACGCACTCCGCACACGTCCTTGTTTCATCATCAGCTGAGTCCCCTCTCCTCCACTCACAGATCGCCTTCCCTCCCTCGCTCTCTTTTGCCCCCCTCCCCTCGCCGCTCCAGCTTCTTTTTCTATCCATCGCTCTCCTCCTCCTCCTCTCTCACTCTGGGTCCTGGCCACATGCAAGAGGGTAGACTAGGACGCCACACTGCTGCTGCTGCTGGTGCTGCTGCTGCGGCTCTGAAAAAAAAAAAAAAAAGAGGGGAAAAACGCTCTGCTGCTATTTCTACAGGCGGGCCCTCCCCTTTAGCTGGTCTGTGCCAAAAGAGGGAGGGATTTTTTACTACTCCCAGTCCCAGAATTTTAACCCTGTGCCTGCTCTCACTTCTCTCTCTGTAAGATCTGCTCCTCAATATCGTGCAACAAGTGGCTTTGCCTTACTTCTCCTTCCACCGCCTTGCACCATTTGATTTTCTCGGGGAACCGCGTCGGCTCTGCTCTGCGGACGTTCTTCGCTCGCACTTTGTCAGTTCCAGCTCATTCTGTGCCGTTGTCACACAGAGTTAACTGGACCCGACTGGGAGGACTCGGTGGTTTTGGCTCGTTCCCCCGTTGTGATGCAAAGGATTTTTTTTTTTTTTTTTTTTTTTTGAACACGTGTTTCTTGATCGCTCGCCATGCTTCCTTTTTTTTTCCTCCCTTCTTTTATTTCGACATTCCTCCCTGAAGCTGAGGACAAAGATGGCAGAATGTGTTCAGCGCGTTCTCTCGAGCGTCAGCGTGGTTTTATTTTATATCTGCTCTTATGGCTCTTTTGATTTTTAACAGATGATGATTTCTGAGGTATTTTCATGTTCTCTTATCTCCTCTGCCCTCCACCTTCTTTACCCTTTCCATCTCCGAACCTCTCCCTCTTTTGGGTTTCTGCCCCACCCTCTCTTCCTCACGCACCCTCTCTCTCTCTCTCACTATCTCTCTCTCTCTCTTGTGGGCAGTCTCCAGTGAAAACGGAGCAGGAGGGCGGAGCAGAAACGAGGCTTTTTCTGGGACAGGTGCCAATTTCAGACAAAAGACACAAAAAGCCAAAAAGAGTGCGATAGTTCCCAGGGAAAAGTAGCATGTTTCAAAAAACTGATTTGCAGTAATTACATGTGTGCATGTGTAACTCTTCTCCTCTTGCAGTACTTTTTTTTTTTTTATTGCATGACTGAGTAGCAGCGCCGAGCTTCAGCCCTCCCCTCCTCTGCCCTCCCCTCCGACTGCCCCCTCTTCTCTGCTGTCTTGCTCCCGTGAAGGCATTTGAGTTTCGAGCGGGGAAAAAGCAGGAGGGGTGGGTGGAGTTGGAAAAGAGGCAGAGGGAGGCGGAGCCCGGTCTCCTCTCTCTCCTCCCTGTCGAGTCTTCTGCATTATTCATATGCCTGGGCCAGTGCTGCCATCTGACTGGCTGCCTGGCTTAGCATTCACTCGACATTCAGCGGCTCTGTTTGCTAACATTCCTCATTCAAAGCCTTGTTAACTGCCAGACGGGAGGAACACGCGACTCCATGGGAAACCCACATGGCCTCCTCATTGTGGCGGGCCCTGACAGTCCTGGTCTGGAGGCGGCAGACGGAGGCGAGAGAGGGCAGCCGGTGTGTAAATATTACAAAGCGGTGGAGTTGAGGTTTGTCAGGTTACCGGCTGCTCGGAGACAGAGTCGGGGCGGGGGAGCCGCCACCCCGGGGGCAAAAAACCCAACAGCAGGGCAGACAGACAAACAGACG